TTGGCAAGAGGACCGTTGGTTTCACAGGTAAGATATGTATGGTCACTAATATTGAAGTTGATGTATGTATGTACAATGTTTATTACTTTTACCTCATTGTGACTGGTCATGTGACATTCCACCTTCATTGCTTTTTTTATCACAGGTGCAGATCTCGAAAATATGGTGAATCAGGCCGCGCTGAAAGCGGCTGGTGACAAGAAACAGATGATTGATATGAGTGATTTAGAATATGCCAAAGATAAAATATTGATGGGTGAGTTTTTTTACAAACTCTGATAATCTAATTTACATAATTTTTCCAAATCAACAGCGTCTTAGAAGCACCTGCAACTGAACCTATTGATACAGTAACCAAGTTTCTATGTTAGCATTTTTAACATTGTTGCAATAGATCTTCGACTCGGTAGCCGCTGAGATCTCGTTGAGAGCAAGAGAGCTAAGAGTTTTCGCACCTCAACTCGTTGTCTCTTGTCATCATGCCTGCATTTTTCCCCTGACCTATGTGGTTTGGAATGGTGGATGTAATCACTCTATAGCTCTTTTGCACCAAACAAGATTTCAGAGTCTGTATGTAAAGAATCAATACCAATTTAATGACGAAAACAAACTTGGTGTGTCATGGAAAATTTACATGGTTCTGTTTACACTGTTGTGCATTTTAGTCTTGGCAATACTACTAAATTAAAAATTCAGTCTGTTTACCATCATTTTTGATGAATTTATTTAATTCCCAGGCTCACTGTCTCTTTAACGATTCTTTTAGGTCCCGAAAGAAAAAGCGCACAAATTGATCAGAAGAACCGCAAGATCACAGCATATCACGAAGGAGGACATGCATTAGTTGCATTCTTTACTAAAGATGCAACTAGTATTAATAAAGCAACAATTATGCCAAGAGGACCCACACTTGGACATGTAAGTAATTAAAGGCACACTTACCTGGGACAGTCAGAAAAGGTAGTTAAGTAATCATCTGGTGAGATTAAGACAGCAAAGTTAATGGTAGACAAATGCTTAACCATATAAAATCTATTTGACTATGATATAATTATACTGGAAATAGCAAAACTCCTCGGTCATTTATTTTACAAACACAAACATGCAAGTATTATGAATCAACCATTTCTGTAAAATTATTTATTTTCGCTTGAAATTTATTTTCACTATTTTCACTGAAAGAATAATTCAGTGAAAATAAAATCCAGCGAATATACTTGTCAAAAATCAGTTAAAATAAACTCCAAAAAAGTAGTAGTACAGTAGTAGTACAGTAGTTGGACTTCTTGAATCTGCAGTGCCCACCAAAACCAAAATAATTAAATTGTATCACCATTTCTATATAGCTGTGAACAAAGGAAAACATTATATATTTCACTGGTGAGAACGAAATTACACACCAATCGCTGTCTTAAAAATTCAAATGGAAAGTTCCTCACATAATGTCATGGTTTTTCTTTGCTTAAGAAATCCATACACATTTATGTTTGTAGAATGAAACCCGTTCACAGTAATGTACGTGTATATGTTCCATGAATGTTAACAATCCACCATGTTACGTTCTCTGCTGTAGGTGTCATTACTTCCAGATAAAGACCAGTGGAATGAAACAAAATCTCAGTTATTAGCCCAGATGGATATCTGTATGGGCGGTAGAGCTGCCGAGGAACTCATCTTCGGACCTGATGCAATTACTACGGGTGCCGCCAGTGACTTCAACCAAGCTACCAGGATAGCAAGAATGATGGTTACTCAGTTTGGTATGAGTGAAAAGGTATGATTATCAACTGTTTATTTTATTTTCCTCTGTTAAGGCTTGGTGCTGTTCCGGATATTCCACTTTTACAGCCACAGTCACATATTTTCTACTCAAATCACTATGCAACCTGTTAACCCCTTTGCATTCACTTTCCAACCATCCTTACCTCTCACTACACATCCCTTTCATATCAAGAATTCGATCACTGCGGCTGTTGATTTCATATCCTATCCTATAACTACTGGTGGCAATTTGCAGAGTTCAAATCTATTACTCAATCAGGCATGCACAGATCAGCCATAATTGACTTGACTTGATCTACTGAGGATTGTGTAGTTTTACCTCAGATCCCCAAATTCTCGTTACTCAAGCAATGCGTGTCCTCTTTACAAACTTACAGGCAGTGTAATGTTAAAATTTGGTGAAAAAAAGTGTGAGTAAACTGACATGTATTGCAGTACTGAATAAATAAACTTGACTGTCAACTGGGTTATCTACTTGTACCATATTCAAATTCCAGTCTTGTTTTCCTTACATAGTTATCATTGTTTATAATCCCCCAAATAAATGATGATAGCATCTTCTTTAATTTCAGACTTACAGAAAGCCCCTCCTACAATAACACTAGACAACAGTTGCCCACGGCGCCAATTTTGTGCCTTTAAGAATCCTCCGATCAGAGTCAAGATGACTATTCTAATAATACAGTGTATCTGCGTGTGTGTCAAGATTGTAGAGATGAGATGTTAGTCTTATTTACTGGTCTATGCATGTATTAATCATCCATTTGTCTATGTCTCTTCAGCTTGGTCTGATGACATACACTGAGCAGAATACTCAGAGTCCTGAAACAGAGGCACTTATAGAAAATGAAGTCAGATCATTAATAAAGGTAATGTGGCTCACACATCAAAATTTAACTAGTTTCACAAGAATTCAAGTTTATATGCTGAAAATTGCTTTAATTTCTTGAAACCATTTTTCAGTGAGTTCCCCAAATTTACAGAATGCGATCCTTGTGTATGCCCTTATAAATCATAGAATTGTGAAAATTTGGGTTTTTATATGGTATTTATAAATGAATGTACCGTTAAAGTCCTAATATAAACCGCATACGTAATAGTAACCGCACCCCCAATTCCGGCTTCGGGGTTAAAGAGTTCTTAACAAAAATTGAAAACTTGAAAAGTACCTATTACTAACCGCACCCCCAATTCAACAAGACCGTGACTGACTTCATTGTTTCAACCAGCTGTTCCAAAACGGCATTGTTCCTAATCCTATTCATTTGTTTCGACAACATGCCTAAAAATATTCACACCTATTTATTGTTCAGCGGTGATAAGATGTCAGACAGGCAATGAAACTGCTTTTGTTCTGGCGGCGACCTCTGTCAATACTCTTTCTGAATACGTCTGTGTTTCGTAAGTTTTAGACAATGAGCTTTTATCACCGTAAAAGTATTAAACT